TTTTTTTTTTTTTTTTTTTTTTTTTTTTTTGCTTTTGTATGACTTTGCGTTTTTTTGTTTTTTATTTTTCATTTTATTTCTGTTATTTGTTGATAATTATTTTAAATGTATTAGCTGCTTATATAATTCTTCATGTGAAATCTTTTGGGCAAGCATTAAAATAACAGTTTGCTGTTGAATGAATGCATAAATGTTGTTTTTTTTTAAGTAATATTCTTTTTCCTTTTTTGTTTTACGAATTAGTTTAGGTGCGGGTAATGTGTGTAATATAATGCCGAAAAAAATTGAAATATTTGTTGTATGTTACATATATGTGAATAAAAAAAGGCTTTCTTTATTGAAAACAAATTGAAATCCTTATTTTTTGTGTTAAGTAATGTGGCCAACATAGTATTCTGATTATTTGTTGTAAATAATGTTATTAAAAGTAAAAGTGTTTTTATCATTTAATCATCTGACAATCTCATTTTATTCGTTGCACATTTATAGATGAAGGAGTGGAAGTAATAGTAATACTACTAATAATGGTAATAATTTTTTTTAACTTCTTACTCTTCTTCAAGTGTCACTTCCTTATTGACAGCAATAAGGTTAATCATCGCTAATCGCAAATGATTTTTAAAAATATGTAACTTTACAACTTAAAACTAAATAAACGTCTCTAAACACATTCATCTTCTGCGAATTTTGATGCTAAATAATAATTATAGCATACAGTTTACAGATAAAAATGAAACCTAACTTTTGATTATTTAAAATACTGCCAAATTTATGACGTAAAAAACTATAACTAAAGAACACTAAGAATAACAATAATTAAACAAAGAAATTAGAATCAAGATGCCTAGCAATGTGACATTACAGTTTTCAGTGTCCCAATTCTGAAAAAAGACCAGGAAGTTGTTGCTAATGCAAAGTAAGATGTTCAGAATCTGAGATTAAATTTTTAAATAAGTTTTAAATGAAGACAGTACTAGTGATTATTCAAAAAAGAAAAAAAAAACACGTTCAGGCTTATCTTCACTTAAACAGCTTTTACTCTTAGAGAACTCCTGAAATTACAATGCAGCTAACTTAATAATGCTTGAGATATTTTGTCTAGCGAGTTTTTTTTTTTATCAGTGCTAAGCAAAGATTACTCAGTTTTCTAGTTTGTTAAGAAGTATTTTACAAATGGAGCACAAATTCTTGTTGCACGGCACCATTTGATGTTGACCTCAACATAGGAATCAATCTTAACGAAGGCGATAGAGCCTCAGAAGTCTTCCGCTATCAGTTCTCGCCTTCGCACCTAACCGACTTCTGTGCCAATTATCTTTGAAGGTCTGAACTGAAGGTGGCCAGATTGAGAGAAATGTTAATTGTTGTATAGTTATTCGTATTATTGTCTATATTGCTGATGATTTTCTGCGTCAAACTATACGTGGCAACTGGACATGGATCAGGTCGGAAAGGAAGATAATCTATTACAAATGCAATATGTTTTTGCATTACGCAAAAGTGACGGTGAAATAAAGGTAACTGAATTTTCGCTTACTACAAATACTTTTTTGATAAATTTTTTAAACCTTTTTTAAGACAAACTCTTCATGATAATTAAAACATCATATCTTTCGCTTAGTAATACTTTTTCTAATTTTTTTCTGCTTCTACTTGTAATGGTATTACTTTGTAAGAAGTCTTTTTAGAATTTTCATGAGCATATCAATACAGTGGAGTTGGAGAAGAAACATTTAGAAGAAGAAGTGAATATTTTAAAATGGCAAAACGACGTGTAGGTGTTTTGATAGATCTTTGCAATACAGAATTTCTTTTGTCTGTGTCGTCCTTCAGCTTTTTATAACATAAATATAGGCTTTCAAGAAAAGCTGGTGCTTCTTCTAGCAGTGCAGGGCGTTCAGAAATACTTGAGGAAGAAAACAGAGTACTGAACGAACGTGTTAACATACTGGAGGCAGAAGTTAGGAGGCTTAAAGACAGCGTGCTCAGTAAAGCTCGGCAAGTGGCTGCTAAAGAGGTTCTTAATTTTTATCAAGATGTATCTGATTAACTATTTTTAATGACTAATAAAATTTTTCAAGTCTAAGAAGTGGTGTAATTACAGGTCTCATTAGGCGCCAAATTTTGGCAAACACAGATACTGTTTCTTCTAAACCTGACATTTGTCTGTAAAGTATTACTCTTAGTAATTTAGGCTTGGATTCAGACAATAGAGAATGTTAACATTGATTTTCAAAAAGAAATTGAACAACTGCAGTGTCATCTGATAGAACAGAACAATCGGATCGTTCGCTTATCGGCGGACAAAGAAACACTGGAGCAGGTAGGTCAAAGTTTAACGGCTAATGAACCAGACAGTGCTGCTAAAATGGTGGTTTTGTAGTACATAGACAGCACCGTTTTGTTCAGTCTTTTCTTGTAAAAACCAAAAGTTTTAGAATAAAACTTGAATTTTCATTGACAATTAGAACGTATTTTTGGAGTTAGAAACTTTCGCAGCAGAGCTACAAGAGCTATCGACTTAGAACTTTCAGTTGATGTACTTTCTTCTGCACACTGTACCAAAGTAGTAGATGAAATTGTTCTTTACAGCTGCTGTCTTGTTTAAACATACTTTTTGGTGCTGTTCTTAGGAGTTGTCATTTGGAAAGGCTGCTGCATTGACCAGGGCAGATGAGGCTGTTTCATTTAATACGGAGAAAATAGAATTGCAGTCAGATGAGGCAAAGTATGAGTATGGCTCAGAGAACACAGGGCATGGTTTAAGTGCTTTTTACCCGCCTCAGGTTACTAAATTTTAAAAATTTTACTGTACCTTGAATAATATCGTTCCAAGTTATCGCAAGAGTTCTTTTCCAGCAGCAAACGCCTGACAGTGAGTCCAATTTCATGAGCTATCGTGTACGAATGTTGTCAGCTGAGTTGGAAAAAACAAGGCGTAAAGTTGAGGTAAATTGAAGCAGATGACTGACAGTCAGACAGTTTTTAGAATTAATCCTTATAAAGAAGGTTGTACTTATATAGGAGTTTCAGTGCTTTAATACACTACGCGCTCTTCAAAGGCGATTGCTGAGATTTTTTGTGAATCTTTTTATTATTATATTTTGTATTTACTTCAGCTATAATTCTTTTATAATAATTTCTGAATTGGGAAAGTTTTCAGGAATTAAACAGAAATATTGCGATTTCAACACTCAACGGATTTGACAAACCGCTTAAACTTCAAGACATATTTGACTATATGACTGCTATTAGGAGAGATACCGCTGGCTTGGAAAAGGAATTGCAAAAAGCTATTAACCAATATGATGATCTTTTGGCGACGCTGAAAAAAACAATTGATTCTGTGTTGCCAAAAGTAAGTGTTTTTGCTAGCATCGTTACCTGTTTCTATTTTATAAGCAAGAAATGGTTTACAACAAACACTGAATTTGATATTGACTAATAACGGCCAGTTTTTTGATGAAATCTTTGTTGAACTGTTTAATAAATTAATCTGTTTATGACAAATTTTTTTTTCTTTGTTATTTTTTATAACATTTTTGAAGATCAGACCCTTCAAAGCTACAACAGAAGACGAGGAAGATAACACGTATTGTAAATGTCTCACTGGCAGTGAAACACGCTGGAGGAAGCTGTGACTCGTATTCTAGAGTTATTCCAGGGTGATCGCATTATCATGGCGTTATGATGTGTAGCAGGTTCTTGTTTGCCATCTAAAATTAGGTTTTACTTTCTTGTGATAAGATGCTTAATTGGTTTGCTAATGGAGGTCTTCTGCTTCATGCTGTTTATTAGATGGTTTGAGAAAAGTAATTTCGAAGCAATTTATGATCTGCAGAAAAACATTGTTGTAAGACAAGTCTTATAGCAGTTTAATTAACAAACATATATGAATGAGTGTAATTTGGAGAAGACAGATTTTGTTTTTAAAAATGTTGACTGATTTTTGAAACAAAGTTTACAGAATTCATTTCGCAGATTCTTTTTACAAATAGCAAGCACGTTGCATAAACAGCAGCGGTAACATAATATACAAAATTCTTCATCGAACTGTGTAAAAAATCATTTTTTAGAAAGAAATACATCAACGGTTTATGGCATTAAGGAATAAAGAACATTTTTCAAAAATGAACAAACAAAGAGCTGTGAATTTCACTGCGAATATTTATGGCACCTGTTTTTGCGATGCGAACTTTATCACAGCAGAGTTTTGCTAGCCTCTAATAGACGTATTAATTCTCGTATTTGAGTACTTCTCTATATAATACTTGATAGTCTTTTGTAGGCCTTCACGAAACGGTACTTTACACGACCAGTTTAGTTCGTTATTTATTTTTCTTGTATCAATGTAGTATCGTCGGTCGTGATACGGCCTGTCAGCGATTTTTTTAAATTGAGGGGACGTGGATTCTCTGAAAAGTTGAATGAATGATGGTGCCAGCCAAAGCCACTAATTTTTCTCAGCTTAACGTAGTTCTATTTTTAGACAGTTGATTCTTTTAGTTTTCTGGGTTGGCTCTTTGTTGTCTACAATTTTGGTTATAGCCAAATTTTGCAGTTAAACCTTTGGTAAAATTTTTGGATCTGTTCATGGATTTGAAGGGTAACACTATAGTTAGTGATCTCAAAGTCGGTCCCAATATTGTAGATTTCGCCAATTCTGCCGTCTTCAACAACTCTTTTTATTGCTTCTGTACAGTCGTCGATATAAATCCAGCTCCTAAACTGGTAGCCTTTCAAATTGTCTGTCAGTTGGTGTGGAACTTTTTACTTTTCCTTAATTGCTGACGCTTTTTTTAAAGATGGTAAATACTAAAGCTTGTTGAAAAACAATACTGTTTGATACTGCCAGTCTTTCTTTTTACATTTACTGCCTCAGCATTCTGCAGCGTAGGATACTTTTGTTTTACGTATTACTCAAGTCTATTATTTTTGTGTTCGGAAGAACATACCTAACATGCTGGCCATCACCGTAGAGCGGATAAGGCTTTCCTTCAATCGCCAGTAGTATAAACTTGGGAATGAGTTTCGAGCAAACCTGCCTGGGTCCATAAACATTGTTCATTCGTACCAAGAGGGACGGTATTTTATATGAATGCTGCAGTAAGGATCAGTAGCTCTTTACAATGATAAATTTAGACAGTTATTTATTTGTTGAAGAACAAATTCACGGTAACCTAAAGTTTTCATTAGTCAAGTCTGACCAGCAGTACAAAAATCCTTACTCGATAAGCATTCAAGATAAGTTCACAAGCAGCTTTACTAGCTGAGTAAGGATTTGTTGGGTCCATTAATGATTTCTCGTTTTTTGGTGTATCACAGTTTGCTGAATCGCCATAAACTTCATCTGAAATCATTGAAATGCATTTACATCTTGTAACTCATAAAGTCAGTGGACTTAGCAACACATGGATTCTTTTGAGACACTGCTTATCAGCTCAATTGTCCGTAACTTAACAAATGCCGCTCACTCTGACTTTGCCATCGTTCCACTTGCTGAGAGAGCAAGAACAGTAAAAAAAATTTGAACCTTTACACAAAATTTGAGAACACTGCCGTAAACTTTCAAAGTAATGTATCAATTTTGACTCTTCTAGCAATAAATTTTCGCTCTAAATTAGGCAGTAAACTGAAGAAACGATGTAAGCTTTATCTCTGAGCACTTCTTTAAGAACATGATAATGATAAGAAATCTGCAAAGATTTTTGGTGACGTTGAAGGGCGCGAAAAAAGAAAAAAAAACCGGGAAACCTGTGCTAACGTGCAAGAATCGTTTCACTCCATTGTAGTCAAAACTGATCGCTTCTAATAAGTTTACGGTGCCTAGAATATTTGTGTTAATTGTGCTAACACGCTCGCTAAATGACTGATCAACATGCGTTATTGCCGCAAAATGAAGCACTGTATCAACCTGGAATCTTTTTGTTTTATTTTGAAAGAACCTGATGGCTGTTTAATGAGGTTGTAAGGTCAACAACACTTCAGCAAACTGTCTTAAAACTGAAATAGTCTAAAAAAATTATCAACCAGATTCCCTAAATATAATTGAAAACCTGATGTTACATAGCTGAGAGACTACGGGAAATAAACGTGGCACCTGAAAAGTTCTCAAAACATCGACGATCATTTGTTTGTCTGATAAGCAGGCCTTCACAAATTTATAACGTGCTGAGTGACGGATATGCTCAAAAATATTTTTTTCAGTTCCTCCACTCTTCTTATCAAGTTTATCAATAATCACCAGCCTGAAGTACAAACACATGCAAACATATGTAGACAAAAAAAAGTCATATTTGTACTAGTAACTTTTAAATTTTTTAATAATTTTTTTTTAATAGAAGCTTAAGAAACAAATCGTGCTGTATTATTTTGAAATATTATTTTATAGATTTGGTAACAGAGACCTATTTTTAACGACTGAACACTTACTTTGAATTTGGCCATTTGTCAAATATGTAGTTAACAAAGTTGGAACCAATAAATCCACATCCCCCAGTTACCAATATTGAAACTGGCTGCCACATTTTACCAAACAGTCTACAAAAAACAACTGGTTGAACATTAAGCTGAATGTTAACGATAGCTTAAGTATGCCATTCAGCTGTGTAAAATAAGGAAAAAATTTTTTTATTGTAGTGTAACATACAAAATTAATTGTCAGTTGAGACTATACCTAACCAAGCGGCAAAGCACGCACTAATTTAGACTTTGCACAAATATTTCATCTATCAAACTTCAATGCCGTGTACAGATTTTAAACTTCAGAGATAATAAAACAATTTCCTGACTGTTTTCATAGCAATAAAAAGTCTTTTTTAAAGTTCAATCTCAAATTATCCTGGTCTATAGTTACATAAATTAAAACGTTTAAAAAATCAAAACATATAGAATTTAGTGTTTTTTTGTTCAATTTTTTTCATTTGCTAATATTACTGTTTAGAAGAAAACTAAACAAAAATGGTGTTTACTTATCCAGATTGCTACACTTAATTTTGCAAAAACAAATTTTGATTTAAACCTTGATGACAGATAATTTGAGGTGCCAAATGTGGCTTTTATAACGGTAGCATAATGATGATTCAAAAGACAATAATTTTGATGCTATTAAACTGAAAGTGTAACCATAGAAAAGAATAGTTTTTGTAATCTAGAAGTCTCAATTTTTTGACAAACATTTCAAATGAGCATCTCTCGGAAACACATCGTAGTTGAAAAAATAGAGCGTTTTTTAAAAGAGCACAATTACTGACCACTGTTTTCTTAATTCCTTATCCTTTTTTTTTCAACAAAAATTACCTATTTACGCAGAAAGTCTTACGCAAAATAAAAATTATTACGCATTGTGTTAGAATAGGAAATAAACAACTTAACTTAAGTTTTTTCAAGAATTCCGATGTATGCTTCAATCTGAAACACTGTTTTAAAATACTGGTCATATAAAAACCGTATTTTTACAACAAACAAGAAAGTTTTTGAGAAATAACCGCTTAACATTTGGCTACGGTTTCTTCAATCAAACATTTCTCCAATACTATTTGTTAGTAAAATCTCTTCAAAAGCAACTGTATCCTTTTACAGCAAATTAAGAATTTCAGCAAGAATGAATTTAATGCATGAAGACGATTTAGCAGCAGGTATCTATTCAAATCTATAAATTTTTTGTGCCACCATCACTTTAACGTGTCTACGACTGCGCCGACTAAGCCACAAATTAAATACTTCTTCTTTTAGGTTTGTACTGAATGAAATTTATAAAATACAGATTTTCAAAACCTTACAATTAATGATTATTACTGCCTTGAATTTCTGCTTCTAAAATTATTTGTTAAAAAACTAATCGTTTCAGTTACTGTCGTCACTGTATTCTAAAAGATTTATCGACATAACTGATTTATAATAATAAAAGAAAAACTACACACAGATGTCTTTCTTGAAAAGAAAAAAGGGGAAAATTTTTGAGAAAGAACCATACAGCGACGTTTGATTCTGCCTTTTTTTGCGTTATTCTAATTTCTACCATTCAGTTGTATCATATCGACTTTATTCTGATTTATAGACAAATGGCTAAAGTTTATAACCAATTAAAAAAAAAAATTTTTTTTTTTAAGAAACTTTTTTGCTAAAAGATAGCCGACAAAATTATTTGTCGTATTCAGTGACGGTTACAGCGAAGATAAAATTAAGTGTTGATCCACAGAGTGCTAAACAATTCTTATCAACCTGATTAGTACAGTTCGTAATTTATGCATTATTATCTCAAACTGTCAACTACTCACAGACAGAGATCAAAAACACTGAAAGAGAACAGCTATTTAAGTTGGAAATCTGAAATAATGCTTTATTTCAATTGCATTTAACAATATAATGCGTCTCAACAAAATTAAACGTCGTTCATCTCTGACCCGTCGTTCATCTCTGACCCATCGTTCTTCAAAAATTCCAGTACTGATTACAGCAATCAAACAGAATCCTTACCTACTGCGTAGCAGACGAACATCTACTTATTCACGATCAAAAAAAGACCTTCAGAAAAGTAAGTTTGAGAATAATTAAGAGACAACTACAGCAAAGCAATAGCCTTTCTATCTTTTTTTTGTTTGTTGTTTATCTTCTGCAATCTATAGCTACCTGGAATATTCATCGTTGAAAAATCTGAAACAGCAACTGATTTAGAGTTAAAAATGTGGCGCAGAAGTCCGGCTGCTCAAAGGACAGCATCATGCACCAATGAGGACATTATAGTTTTATGTACGACTGTAAAAAACCAACCAGGTATTTATAACAGTTTAAATTAGGATTAAAATTTAGTTTTAGAAAAAGGTATTCAAGTAGAATTACTTTAGATACATTATAATTTTGCTCTGGGCTGCCAGTGATTTAATTTTTACATTTTCCCACCTACAGTCTCTTTTTCAAATATCTGTTTCCCACTGTTATCATATTTTAGCATCGCAACGACTAGTTGGTGTTCGTGATTCTATGGAACAGTCATCTCCAGGGATAAATCAATTTGGAGTTGTAGCATCTAAATTATCACTTCTAACAAAGACTCAGCTGTGTATTATGTCATCAGATGCCCTGATAAAAACAAAAAAGCAGGTCAGCTGTTACTCAGCTTTAGTTTCTCGGTAAAGAGCTCCTGGGTTTTATGTAGGTCAAAACTGATTACCAACAGATAAAACCTGTTGCAGCTGGAAGCAATGCTAGAAAAAGAAGAAAATTTATATAACTCGTGCAAGTGCGAAATTGACAAGGCGGAGGACCGTATAATGGAAATGGGTAAAGAAATGCAAAAACTACGCACGAAACGAGACGATATAAACGAACAGCTGTCAACTAATTCACTCATGTTGGATGAGTTGGTGAAAGAGTTAGCAAAAGCACAAAAGAGACTTGATGCTCTCAGAAAACAGCGTGAAGCATTGCTTGCTTAAAAAGTTCGCTACTCTTTTTTGTTGAGGATAACATGGAAGTAAGTTGAATTAAAAATCTATTTTTAAAGCTATTTATAAAGATAAATGAAAAAAAAAACAGATCTTTAATAAGTTACCGATTATTTATGTTAAAATCATAAATTTTTTTGAAACATGACAAATATTTCTTTTCTCTCTCTAAACGAAATTTTTATACTACGCGAAACAGCGCTATGCTGAATAGAACTGACATTTTCTGCTGTATCAGTGACAAAACTGATCAAATTTATTGTAACCGTATCGTATGTTTGATGTATTTAGTTAGTAGTTTTATTCTTGTGCGATCTGATTATACCATTTCTTATAATGTATCTAACTGTAGTATAGTGAAGGTGTTAGATTGAATAGATAATTGTTTTAGTTTTTGTTTTTTTTCTAGGAGTACAGAACAATAAACAGCTAAAGTTTCAGGTTCTTGATTTGAAAAATGAAAAAAACGATTTATAAAATGACTGCTTATTATAGTAAGTGATATTGTCAATTTATGTATAATACAATATCCTACCATATGAGATTTAACTAATATTTGTGTTTTTTTACTTTGTAGTGCAAATGTGTTGGTGATCATTTTGATAAATAAAAGAATTGAATATATTAGTTCAGTAAGAAAAATTGATGTAATTATTTAAAACAGTTCAAATGTGAGCAAAAAAGTATAACCGAATTATGGCACATACATATATCATTTTCTTGGTCTAGTACAGTGACAAGGAATTGCAACAGATGAATTATTCTTGTTAATAACTCTGTTCATCAGTTTATGGTACCTAGTACAGCAAATTTAAATGAACTCTTAGCAGTCAGTTGTCTACTGATGACAATAATCTCATCAAATAAAATTAGTAGTTCTCTCGGTGTCAATCGACATATTAGCAGCAAAACTATCAACGGTTCAAGCGAAAATTAGGAAAACAATCGGTAGACAATCAAGATTAAATTTTAAGCTTAGTCTTTTATTTTTTTAACTAATTTTTGAAAAATATTTTCAATTTTTCAAAAAAGAAAACAAAAGATTTTATTTGGTTTGAGACAAGAGTGTAGTATTTGATCTGATACTGAATCATTGTCAAATTACAAAATACTCTTCAACTTTTTTCTTTGAGAGAGAAGAAAGGAGCAGTTTATAATGTTATAGAAATGCAACTCTTTTCTAAAATAAGCATATTTTCTGCAATAGAATTCTTATAAAACTTAACTGTTAAATCTATTTACTTTCTAAATTTTTCTGTTTTTAAAGTATTTGTTACGCTTTTTTACTTTACTGATCTGCTCTGTTCGCTTTCCATAATTTTTTTTTTTGACAATATCGTTTTCTGAAGACAATTATAGCCAGTGACCTATAAAAATAGATAAAGCTAAAATTAACAGCAGTTGTCAATCTAAAGATTCAAAACTGATGTTACATTAAATTGAATTGCCGTTAAAAACAAAAAATTAGAAGACGAAGAAAAAAGAGTAATAAAAAAGATCAAAAATGTCAATACTATACTTGTCTTTAAGCAGTTTTGTGCTCAGTTTAGTATCTCCTCTCCCACTTTTTTTTTTTTACACTTACTTCTAAAAGTATTTATCAAGAACTATTTGTCGTAAAGGTTTTTTGAGAGTAGATCATTTTCTTTGGTTAACTCTCACTTACTGATACACTAACATTTTGCATTCTTTCTATTTTTTCTAAGATCATCTTCAAAAAGTTCCTTTTTTTTCTGTTTGTTTTAATTTCAAGGCATTTAATCAGTCGTATTGAACAATAAACCACAATCACTAATATAATTGAGTGTGTTTCTTTCTTAAAAACAAAAATTATATTAGATTACCATGTTTTGACTAGATCAAATTGCTGATGAACATAGTCAGTAGATGTTAGTAAAGTCAACTTATATAAAATAGCTGCTAACAGTGAGTCGACTGCAAAAAAAAAAAAAGAAGGTAGAAACGTACAGACGAAATTAAAATATGATTTGAAATTGATGGAGAGAAAAACGACCAAAAACGACTTCAGAACTAGTAAAATTTATTGTTTGTTAGTTTAAGATTTTATTTAAATACTTTTAAGTTGTAGACAAAAAAAAAATGTGATAATTTTAAAAATGTCAGTGAAACAAAAAGAAATGACAGCAGTTTTTTTTTTCTCAGAGAAAGGAAACTGATTTAACGCTGAAGGAAAAACCGTAGAAAAACTATATTTCTAAGACCTTTTATAGAATGAAATTGTGTGAGAACGGAGACTTTCAAATCAAAAATTTTCTTGCTGACTGTATAAACGTAGTAAAACACATATAAAATATTTTTTTTTAAATTTTAAACAGTTACTAAATTAAAAACTGATAAGCACCAAATATTATTTCATAATAAACTGTTCAACAAATAAGCTTTGCACAACAACGATAAGTTAGGCAGAAATAATTGGAATAGAATGAAATAAAACTTAGGTTTCAGAAGACAAATTTATTTATTTTCAATTTTTTTTTTAGCATAAATTAAACCAAAAAAAGATATAAAAATAAAGCATTATTTAACATAAAAGATAAATGCTCTTCAGAATGCTTGATTTGTAGTACTCCGTAAGTTTGATTGTTGAGTTATTTTTAAAGCAATTTGACAAAAAAAAAAGAAAAAAATATATATATACAAAAAATTTTTTCTGAACCAACACAGAACAGTGTATTTTTTAGACAGTCAATTGGTCATTGCTGTTATTCCATACAGCCACATCTCAATCATATTTTTTTTCCTGTTTTTGTTTTCTGATTAAACAAACATTGAATTAAATAGGAAGAAAACGAAGATACAAAAATAAATTTAAAAAAAAAAAGATTATTAAATTTATTAAAATAAACATTCAACAAAATGTACTGCAGACAATTGAAATCAAAAATTTGGTGTATTTG